TTACGTTGGCCTCGAACGACAATTCTTCGCAGCGTCCACGTGGATTCCGGCGGCGTCTCGTGACGTCTCCCGCCATTCATAGTGGCGCCCAGATTGGAGACATTATGCGCGGGTCTATATGTGTTCCGACGCGTCGACATAGTGGCCGGTCGTGCGTGCCGGTGCATACAAAGCGCAGCGAACAGGTCGCGTATATATGCGACGCGTCGTTGCATGAATCGTACGCTCAGGTTCGCGGAGCGCATTGGCATTAGTCGAACTGAGCCGGGGGAGAGAAATTATCGAAAAGGATCGGCGGATCAATCGAGAGAAGAGACAGAGAGATAGAGAGAAACGGAGAGGACACGACGGCGAGAGGATCAGAGAGAGGGAGAGACAGGAGGAAGAGGATCGCGGCTGCGACGGTGAGGAGCGAGAAGGGCGAGAGGAAAGGACGCCGAGTCGGAGAAAGGAGACGCGAAACGTGCCTGTTCGAAGATGCATATAGCATCGAGAGGGATTGTGCAAAAGCTCCGCCGTACTCTCATCTCGCCGATCGCTTCTCGTGCTATTATGCCACTACCGGAGGGAAAGAGAAAGATAGATCGAAGAAGAGGGAGAGGGAAGGGAAGAGAGAGAGAGAGAGAGAGAGAGAGAGAGAGAGAGAGAGAGAGAGAGAATACAGAGGGAAAGAAATAGAGAGGGACGCTTACTCCCCTCCCTGTATTCCTCCTAACATCAGTATTGAAATTAGAAGCGGGGAAAGTCGACGACGATTACAACGTTTGACGCTGGCGGCCGGGACTATCGCGGCATCACGTTCGCGTAAACTAGGTCGCTATTAGAAAACTCCTGCGAGATCGCGGGCGATATCCGCGTGTGTAACTTATCGAAAGTTACACACGTGCACAGGCAGTGAAAGAAGAGAGAGAGATTCCCTCACTGTCTCGGCGATGTGTAACACGAGATGTGAAAAATTATATCCTTATAAATAAATATATAAATAGTTTCGCACGTTTCTCTCCATCTATCCTGTATGTCTAATAGAATTGGACGATTCAATTTACTGCGAGGCGACGAGTTTCGGACGATTTTGAACTATGTTGCGCACACTTGATTCTCGCGACAATGCATGTGTGACGACCGTTCGCTCAACCGCGAAGGAATCATTATAGGATGCTGTTTCACGATCTTCAATAGCGATACGTACGATATAATACCGTATGTGAACGTCTAAGCAACATCTTCGTGCGCGATCGAGCTATCGGTGCGATCCGTTGTTTAGCCTCGTCGTCGAGAATCGGCCAGGAGATTTCTATCGTCGAGAAGGTGGCTCTCTCGAGTGTTCTCGAGTCAGTCGCTGAAACACAGGTGGCATTCGGTAGCGCGAGTGCACCCGCCGCTCACTCCGACGTACAGGCAGCGACGGCGAGATTATACGTACCGTATTCAATCAGCGGAGACGATAATGACGGCATTATCCGCGGCGGCGATGAAAGTCAGGCGCGTTTACCGTTTTTCGAGGTGGCGGCAGACGCGCTGCGCGAAAATGGCTCCACAGTTATTACACGTGGCGCGGCGAACGCGCTGGTCAGATACCGAGGCATCCGGGCTTTTATCTCCGGGCGGCCCCCTTATCCCACCCCCGCGCCTCCCCTTCGCGCCTTATTCATCGTCGCGCACAACGAACGAGCCCACACTCTCTCGCGCACCCACGTGTACGCTTCCCACATACTATACGCTCCTTTTTATTACGCACCCGCGGCACCATAATTGAATTAGACCGGCGAAGCGCTAAACGATCGAAGGTAGCTCGCGCGCGGGCGGATCGTGGAGGAACCCTTCGCGGAAAGGAAGCAATTTAAACGTTTCCGTTTATGTCCCTCGCGGTGATCCTTCAAGAGAGAGACCGAACGTAGGAGAGAACGAAGAGAGAAAGAGATCGAGAGAGTGAGAGAAGGAAAAACAGGGCCCGCAGTCCTTTGTCGCGCTGGGCCCTCCTCCTCCTCTTTATCTTTTCTCGGAGGATACTCGCGAGCGAGTTATGAAATATACAAACAGAAAACGTTAGCTGTGCGTGGCGCTCTTCAAACAACCCACGATACGCGCGTGTAGGCAGGTGAGATAGGTGGGTGAGCACAACACGGCTGCGCTTTGGGACCGCTCGGCTCGACTTGCGGGAATGCGTGTCAAACAAACGCGGTGCCCTTCGAGGCCCGTCAGGCACCCACCGAACCGTCGTCTGAAGAAGGCACTCTCGACACAGGTCCCCTGTGTGTACGCGCGCTCTCGCGAGGGCACGCCTCGTGCGCACTCCAGCGAGTCTCTCGAGGACTGTTTGGGGCCCCCTCGAAATCGCTCGTATATTATGCCGTAATTACGTCGGACGACGACGACGACGACGACGACGACGACGACAACGATGAACGGTAGGTGGTGGGCGCGCTACTAATTAGGTACTGACGTTGCTTGCCTCGGCGGAGAGACACAAGTGCGCGGGCTCTTCAGAGCCCCGAAAAGGACGGGACTTTCCTGACGAGTCGTGCTGCGTGTGCGACAGCGAACTGCACGACTGTTTCGTAGCGTCACGAGGTTTACAATATGTCGATGTTGTAAAGATAACATGATAAACACTCGACGTCGAAATAGGGATACCCAGAGTTCCTCAAGCCATATTTAGGACATTGACCACCATTTGTAGGGGGGAGATGAGTGAGAGAGAAGCTGCAGCTTGCTTCGTCATTTCAGTCTTAAAAAGTTTTTGCCTCTCTCTTACTAGTGTTTCTCCCTTATTCCCACTCATATCATCCCTACAAATGGCGGACAGGACACGGACCAATCAGGAATCATCGTGCTTTGCCCTAACTCTGACTAGAGGAACTCCAGAGGTACACTTCCTTGAAGTGTTGCACCCTCTTGTACTTCTTTTTCTTCTTCATCCGTCCGATCCTTGCTCGCTCGACTCCGAGCGAGATTTACACGCGGGACTACTATCCCGTCGGTGAAGAATGTGGGAAACGAATCGCGATTAACAACCGCGCGCGCGGGACGCGGTGCTCTCCGCGGCTGCAATTTTCTCCAGATACCGGGTGTACAAAATTCGCGCATAAAATCGCCGGTCGTTCACGGCCGACCGAACTGATTCATAACTACGGAAGAAGTGGCGGCAGAGGCCAACTTCAACATGGGTGAACGATCGTAAAAATTCGCCGCGCGAAAAGACGAGCAGAGGGGGGAGAGAGGAGAGGCGAAGCAGGGGAATTCAAGGGGAGAGAAAAAGAGCGAGAGGAACAGAGAGAAGGAGGAGCGCGACGAGGAGTCGTGCCCCAAGCGGCTGGAACCAAACTGGAATTCTACGCAACTGCTCCGCGGATGGGAGAAACCAGCGGACCGGAAACCCCGCGCGATCCGAGAATCTCTTGGACGCCTCGCGTCGACAAAGGAATCGGGCCGAGAAATTCACGATATACATACATATATATATATATATATATATATATATATATATATATATATATAAAGCGAAAAGTTGTGAGCGCTTTTACCACCGCCGCCTCGGTCGTTAACATCGTCGTTGCGAAAGAACGGCGGCGCTCGCGATTCACTCGGCCGGCTTTCGACGATTTCGAGAATGGGAAGCTCGAAGCGGGAACGCCGATAGACACGCACATACGTACACGAATATGCGCGCATACACGGCCGACCCCCGGGGGCGGCGTCGCTAATGAGACGCTCTCTCGGCATAGTGTCACGGCGTCGATGATAAATGATTCGTGCGGCCGATTCGAGTCCGAATGTGTCGTCCCCTCGTTACGTCTTCATCGCCGTCCGTCCGCCTTTCGTGGCCGGCGACGGCCATTGTGCCGGTGACCAAACAAAATTACGGGCCCCGCCGCGCGCACATCGGCGTTATTAATCGCGCGACATCAAATTAAGCGCGTCGTCCCTCGCCTCGTGTAACGGCGGTTGGCTGGGATTTTCGGAGTCGGCTGCGGTGCGTTCTCACGGATATTAGGTGCCTGCGCTCGTACAAGACGTTTTGGCACTCGACTGCTCGTTCTTTCTCTTTCTCTCTCTCGGAATGCCTTTGGCCCGTATCCTCTCTCAACGCGCTTACTTAGGCGTCAAATGTGAGCGTCTGATTCTTGTCTCACGTTGACATTGTACGCGATTTCCGTATTAAGCGAATAGCGCCGGCGAATACGGTACACGAAAAGAGTATACGTCGCGGTAAACAAGAGCGCGATACGAGGTTTGCTGATTCGAGTGTAATTAAGACTTGTACGATTGTACGGTGTAAGGTGCATTTGCAAGGTCCTTATTGCAACGCGATATTAGGTTGATTCAGATATCTTCTCTCGTAGAAGACACATTTCGCTTGAGTGTGTCGGCATATTTTTATTTTTAAAAATGCTTAGTTCGCGACATTTGTTCGGGATTCGTAGCAAGACTTCTCAAAGTCAACTTGTGAAAATCGCATTAAAATAAATATACGTTTCAGTCCTGTTATTTGGAGTTGCTTCAATATGTTAAAAAGTCGACGCTTGTCTTACAAATATACGACAATTTTGCGTAGAACGAAAATGTAATGAAAATTACTGTGATTATTGTCCAACAGTGTAAGGTCGTATCATAAATTCCTAGTGCCTGAATGATTGAAAATTTAATGTAGCGTCTAAGAGAGCAAATATATCGAAATATACCGATGAGCATAGTAACAAAATTGAAATAATTAAAAACAAAGGTTAAAACAACAGTACTTTGGCGAGCAATCACAGAAGACTAAAATTGTGTCAAAAGTAAAAGACAATCGAACTGATTGCAATAAAAGTTGCCACTTTAAACTAAAATAGAAGAAGTCGTGGAGTGTATAATATATTTAAAATAGATAAATAGATATCTAGATAATTCATGAGATCATTCGTGTCAATCTGTAGATTTAAAAGGGAAAAAAGAAACTATAATACTCTTTTTGTGTAGATGTAGCTTATCGTAATACCTCATCAAGAGACACGACTTACCGTCCATCGGAAGGTGAAGGGTAGTTGCAGGGTGACAGGTTCGGCGAAGGTGAAGCTATTCGGGCCGAGGGCGTGACTAGATACGTTGCCGAAGCTGCAGGTGCCGATGGCAGTGACATTCGACTGATACTCCTTGAGACAGAGCCAAAAAGCCGTCGAGCAGGGCTTCGTGCACGGCGGGAACCCTCCTCCCCCGTCTCCCCCGCCGCAACACCTACCGTCTACCAGGGTGCCCCTGTTGTTCGACAGCGAGAGGATCTGCACCTCGAAGTATCCGCTCGCGGTTGTCGCCTGCAACAGCGAATGATGATATCTTCAACAATTGCATAAAATTTTAGTCATGCTCCTGTCGATACAATCGCTGCAACGAACAAAGCGCGATTGCGCAACATGTCGAGAAGACGTCCAAGACCCGTATCAACAGTCATCAGCTGAAACTTGTTTCACGTGAGATACTCGGATTTGTATTCAGAGTTCAATTTCCAAGCTTTTCAGTTGAATTACAACATATGTGATATTTATATCTATAATCGCGATTCAACTGTGAACGATTCTTACCTAACTCTGAATTGAAATCTGAATATCTCATCAGAGACGAGTTTCAAGTAATAATTATTCATATGACGGGCTCAAATGTCAGGTAGAAATCTCTAAAGTTGACGCTTTAAGTGAAAAAAAGTAACGAAGAAAAAGAAAAGTAACGAAGAAACGAAGTTCAGAAGGCGCTCAATTGCGTAACGACTCGTCGAGCATTGCGCTATTACGTAAATCGTGGAAAACGAACCGAAAGTAATTAACGGGAAGGGGAAAATATGCGTTGCGAAAGAGAAAAAAAGACAGAGAAAGAGATCTTCTCGTAAAATTCGGTCCGCACACTTGTGCCGGCGAGCGCGGAGACCTGAGCAGCCTCGGGTTACAGTTCGTTATTGCGTATCGTGGAAACGGAAGTCTCGTGTTAATATCTCGAAAGAGAGACGGAGGCCTCGGGCGAACGCACCGAATGCAGCAGCAGTAGCGGCAGCAGCTTCGGGCCAATCTCGGGAAAGAAATCGGGCAGGTTTCGAAACGACCGCGGCCGGGCAATTTTCGAGTTCGCCGCGCCAATACGACGTGCCGTTACGCGCGATACGCATCGCACATTCTACGTAGACACGGTTTACTTCGTTCTCACACATGCACAATCCTTACCTGCGACGGTTCGGTTCGTTCGAGGACTTTTAATAAGAGGTGATTCGAATAACAGAGGCGCGCGTGTGCAAAGTGAGCGAGCGGAATTAAGTGAACGAGAGCCGTCGTATTTTTTAATTTTCGTCAAACTTCTTCGGGTAATCTGGAGCCAATACCGTCCCGACCCGAGGAATGCCGAAGCGTTCGCGAATTCCGAAAAATTAGCCGATGAAAGTAAGGAGTGTCCGATGAGTTATATCTCAACGAGACAGAATAATTCGTGCAATTGCGAGTTTCTTTGTTAATCTCAAACGAGTTTTAGCAGAATTTTTATTTGACGCTTCGTTGTGCCGAGAAAATAACACAGTATATACAGAGAAACCCATACTACAGTAAATTTTACTTGTTTCAAGTATTTCGTAAGTTTTTTCATATTCGCAAATCTACTATAATCCTCTGCGTGCAATGTTAAGTCTGAGAGACTCGAAAGAATGGTCCCTCACCAACTTTCGTAAAAAATCCGGGAAAATTTCGAAATAACGCAAATCTGTTTTTTATTTTATCATGCTTTTAAGACTTTTCTAGATTTCTGGAAAAAATATGTCCAGGGATACTGATTTCCAACAAAGTTAAAATAGTTCAAAATTGTTCGAATCTGACAGATCCAAATTGTATTGCATGTCCCAAAAAATATGATTGTACGTGAAGGAAAAAGTTTATCATCCTAGTAAGTTCAGTGTTTCAATCAAGAATGTTAAATTAAAGCCAAAGTTCGATTTGCTTATAGAGACAAATCAACTGTTTCTTCTACAATTTTATTCTTAAGAGAAAAGAGAATAAATTCTTCTTTTATTCTTAAGAGTAAAGAGAATAAATTCTTCTTTTGAGTCCATGATAATGAATTTCTCTAGAATTTGTGACGAGTATATTTTCAGACTGTTATCAAGAAGGTATTCTTTGTTGAAACTAACGAAGCAGCAATAAAAGGATCAAAGTAAACCGAGTAATCGCTTCTCTTAGCTGTAAAATAATACCTTTTTGTGTATACGCGAGTGAGAGGTAACCCGTATGAGAACGCTGTTTAAAAAAAAATCGATCTTGTAACAGTGTTGCGTACATTTGCAAAGAGATAGACGCGACTGGAAATACGGGATCGCAAAGTGTACCTGCGCGATCGCAGGTCGATCACGCGCCGGTGCGTGTGCGGGTAGGCACACACTCGTGCGTGCGTATGTGTGTGTATGTGTATGCCGTTCGTGTGCATGCACGAGCCCACGTAATTACCCGTAAGAGTAAGATCGAAGGTAGAAAGCGCAAAGGATCGTCTGCTGGCCTTTGCTTTTCCATAACGCGCTTCCTTCTACGTTATATAAGGCCGATCTCGCGAGTGACATTTCAGCGGATCGTGGCGTCGAGCAGCCGTGAGCTCCACGATTCGGCATGTGTCGAATAAATCGGAAAATGACCGAAGAAGGTGATTATACACAGTGCATGGTAATCCGCTTTATGAACCTCTCTCATTTCACCGAATGGTCTGTGCGCTCAGTCCATGCTTTCAGCGAATTTCAGTGAGCACTTGGCGCTTTACGATCGAACAGTGGCTGCGAAGGCGACCTCGCGTATACAATCTCCGCCTGAGTATCCCCTCGTTAACGCCGTAAAAATAATGTCGCCGTAAAAATAATGTCGATTTATCTCTGCGTTAACCCGACCTGTCCGCCAATAGCAATAATTATCACTTTGTGACGTGATGTACTTCTATTGATACTGTCTGATGCTTTTTACTTGTTTGGAAATTGGTCACGACTCCGACTCTCTCTCTCTCTCTCTCTCTCTCTCTTTCTTTCTCTTTGGCTTCCCAGCGACGACGTCGACGTCGTCGTCGCGTTTCCCGTCGCCCGTTTACGACGATGATGACGACGACGACGACGATAAATCCTGCAGTACGAGCGTTTCCGCGCGTAGAGGTGCGTTTATTTGGAAAGCGAACGCCGGCACGCGGAGTTTTATTAGCTGAGCATACTTATTCTGGAGGCTCTCTCGCTTCGCCGGTAACCTCCTGCCTCCGTGCGGGGTCCTACGGCCGGCCGTGGAGGATCCTGGGCCGCGAGAGAGCAACGTGCGCTCCGCAAACTTTGCACAGTCCGCTCACGTGCCGGCGAGAAATTGCCGGAGATACTTTAAGCGAGCCGACGCGGAAGAGCCTCTTCGATGGAGCCGCGGATGGGCGCTCGCGAGTCTCTCCCTTGCTCTTTCTCTCGACGGGAGATACCTTCGAGGGAATCGCTCGTGGACGCGACGTGAATATCCAATGAAATTTCGACACTGGGCTAGAAGGCGCAACGTAAATACATCCGATAACATGCTAATGACTTCGGTACTATTTTTTGCACAGTAGAAAGATATGCTAATATCACTTACGTTAATAACGTTACATAACGACTAGTGTAACAGTGTATCGTTACCTTTTAGAATATACACGTAATATCGTTATCTTTTAGAATATACAACTCGGAATATATGGATAATATCATGCGATGTAATGATAATAAATATTGGGATATATTTAACGGTAACGCTATTTAGTCGGAGGAATAAATGTTAGATAATTTCGTTAAATAATTTCATGCAGTATTCGAAAAAGGCAAGTTTTACTCCCCTCGTGTGAGCTCTCTCTCTTTCTTCAGCGAACTTTTACTCAATTACACTTATTCGAAAACGTGAGAAACGCGTTCTGTCTTGAGCTTGAGTTCAATCACCGGAATTCAATCACGACGACGGCTTTCGCGACTCTGACTACGTTCACCAGTTGAAGAGAGGCGCGACCCAGTGTCGAGTGTCTGCGTGTGTCTCTCTTTCTCCGTCTAGTCTAGCGTTTTCCCACATGGCCGCAGTCGACCGCCACCCAGCGATAATTGAAGTTCCCCGGGGCTGTCGAGGTGTAATAAAGGGTGGACACCTCGTATTAGCGACCACTTCCCCATCCTGCGCCGCGCCTTCAAACTTCGCAGTGATCACTTCTTTCGTCTCTTTCGCAGCGACACTCGGCTCTTTCGCGGTTATTAGGTTGAAAGTTCATCCCTTTCTAACCATACGTTACGCGCGGTGCATTATAATAATATCGCGTGTGTGTGAGTTGGTGCGCGCGCGAGCGCACTTTGCTCTTTGATCAGATCTTCTCGATACGAAAAAGGTGATCTTTAATTTTCAATCAGCATCGCGCTTTCGACGACGCGACCGCACGGAACACTTCCCGAGGAGAGGCTTGACTTTCCCGTCGTTCCCACGATGATCAGAACACGAGGTCCAGCTCAGGCTGCGAGATTGATTTCTGGACACCTGGTACGTGCAGCGGAGTGTTTTACGGGCATTTTATCCCCATCGCGGGTGTGTTACCGTGGCCGTCAGCGCGTATACACCTTCGTAACCTGTTACAACGCTCTCCGCTCCACGTGCGTGTGCGCGTGCACATGCACGTGGTGTATGTATGCGGCTACGTGTACGGGAGACGAGCAAAGGAGACGTCCTTCGGTGAACGCGTCCGAGTGAGCGTGCGCGCGCGCGCACGTGTGTGTGTCCGTAGGTGGGTGTAATGTATGTGTGTGTGCATGTGTGTGCGTGCGTGAGTGCTCGCGCTGCCGCTCGGTTCGCCGGAGAAGAGCCTTTCCTTTCCGCATAGCCAAGGTGCAGCGAGCCATACCTCGGTGCGCCTACTTTTATACACTTCTCGTGGAACTCCACCGCGGCTAGTACGAATAATTCGCTCGGACGGACGGACGGACGGACGGCCGAAAAAAACGCCCGCGAAACGCATACTGAGGAACGACTCTAGCGTGTCCTCTCCTTCGTGTCTTCCTCCACTCCTTTGTTCTGCCCACTTCCGAGGAAATTCACTCGTCGAGCCGCGCTCGCGAAAACCGTGCGCGTCGCTTTCGAAAAGAAGCCGATTTTCCTTTCACGAGCGGCAATTATCGCGCGGGATCCTGCGCCGCGTATTCCTCCTCGTTGCACCTCGATTTTACAATGAACGAGTCAATGAATAATGAAAAAGTAAAATTTCCTATGAAGACTGTGATGTTTCTTCGTCGAAGTCTCTTGCGCGATTGTTTTACGTCCAAAGAGAG